TGCTGTGGAAGAGTTAAGTTGCGCTACTCAGGGATCACTTTGGCCAGTGTGCTGTGGAAGAGCTAAGTTGCGCTACTCAGGGGTCACTTTGGCCAGTGTGCTGTGGAAGAGCTAAGTTGGGCTACCGGGCGTACTGAAGTCCAAAGTTCTAAAAATCTAACAACCCCACAGTCCTACGGGTGGGGAAAAACCGTCGGCAGTGCACTAAGCACATCCACGATTTTGGGGGGGGCCTGGTTGGGCCTGCAAGCAACCAGGCCCTATCATCCACTGTTTCACCTGGGAGCGCCTGGGATACAACCCAATTGACATCTGCAAGGGCTCCAGTCGTACCTCCTCAGGTTCGGTATGACTGGACCCGAACCTGGCACCCACCTTAAACACCCCACCGACACGTTTCACGAAGGCACGACTGGAGCCCCTCCTCAGGCGGGTGAAGGTATGACGTCGGACCGCCCCCAATCACCGCCCCAGATCCGAAACGAGTCCGGTACGAGGCCAAACGGGATCGTCTGGTGTCGCGGAAGTCGGTGGATGTGACCCCCGGTTCCGCTCCCAGCGATGTGACCCGGAGCGTTTGGTTCCGGTGGAGCCAAAAACGAGGTGTTTGTTGCCGGAGTTGGGAGTTGGGCGAGGGAAACTCGCCTGGAACGAGTTGCACTATGTTGCGAGGAATTGTTGAGAGGGTTTAGTTTTGGAGAAGGATTTTACAGAAGGGAAGTAGATAGTAGACAATACACCCTGGAAGACGATCCCATAGACCCTGAAAACCACTGGTTGGTAGAGGAAAACCGAAGGAGCCAGGGGGCCAGCCAGGACCCGGGTCTATGTTAGTTTTCGGAAGTGTACACCAGGAGTCACAAGTACGGGGTTGTTTTTAGCCCCATCCAGTGAGTGGATATTGGGCACCCCTATCCTCCAGCAGGCACCCCTTTGTGACTGCTGGTATGTAATCCCCAGGGATCCAAGTACCTTCTCAGAAAGTGATTGGAGACCCTCTTATGTAGGTTTTGAGGGTTCAAGTACCTTCTGAGAAGGTACTTGGATCCCTACAAAATCTTAAGCTGGTGAACTGTATCGTTCTTTCGGACCTCCACGGGGGGAAACTCGCTCGGTCGACCACTCCACGTTGGCCGAAGAGATGATCTCAAAAAACCCGGGAAGAGACACACATCCCAGACACTCCATGGGACTGCCATATATGCCTACATTGGGGTGGTTTGAGGGGTCAATGTAAGCATATAATGGCCGTCCCATGGAGTGTCTGGGCATGGAACCGGGAAAACGTGAACCTTTTGGAAGATGCCTTTTTGCTCTACCACGTCTACAGCCCGGTGTTCTTGTCGGATTCTATGTGGGTCTCTTCTTTCTCGGGAATATTTCAGGGAGTGTAGCTGATGGATCACCCTAGGCCCTAGGTAGATCAACTGGGATCGACCGATGAACAGCCCAGTTCGGCGGTGAGCGGCCGGTCGTGGATCGGCCGGCCCCGCTCGGAGCAGCGAGCTGAGTCGACCGGTGGGCGTCGGCATGGCGTCGGATCTCCTGGGAAGTTTTGTGGGATTATACCCCAGGGCTCCGTCAGGCTCGGTGGTTAGTCCCTGGCACCCATCCCTGTCCCATCTTCGAAACGGAGGTGGGCCAGGAGCGCTAGGGATAATCACATGAATTCACTGTCTCAACTGGCTCAGATGAACAGGGAAGACTTCGGCCACGGCCACGACTTCGCTGGCTGAGGGACGTGTGAATCACGGGGTTCATGTCCTGTCCACAATTATTATATACCCTAGGGCTCCAACCACCTCCTGAGAAGATGGTTGGGGTGGGTTTGGGGGGTCTAACCACCTTCTGAGGATATGGTTGGAGCCCTAGGGATATATCGAGGTAAGACTGATCCGGAAAGAGATGGGTGTGCGACCGGAATCCCCGACCATGCATTGTTGTTTTCAGTTGGTTTCTTCACCTGATTCAGCCACAGGCCTTTTGAATAATCCCAAGATTTGAGTTGTTCACCTGGTCTTCCTAGAGCCGTCGGGGGCTTTACACACCCAGATTCGGCCAGATTCGCCTTCTTCATCACGACGAATTCGCCAGTAGGTCCGACCGGCGTGCAGGGGAGCCTGGGACCGTGTGATGGGCGCCCAATGCCTGCAGAAGTGTGATGGGCGCCCGACCTCCTAGACGCGACCAATGGGACTTGGGAAAGGATTGGGACTTGAGGCCGCCCCATTGACCCTCCAAATCATCCCATGGTCCACCGTAGCTGATGCCCGATCATCAGGACCTGCCATTCGCAGAAAACGAGCTCCCATGGTCGTGTTCGGAAGGATCAGGCCTTCCTGAGGTTTGGTTGGGAATCTGAATGGGATGGATTGGCAGCATCCAATGACCGAACCTCAGAAGGCGTGTGTGGATGTGGCAGGGACGGAGTGCGAAAGTGGCAGGAAGTCTTTTATCGTGCACCTGCCGAGCTGAAGAAGATTTGTTTGATGTTCCTATATATATATTATATATGATTATATATGATATGGTCCAGTAGTCATCCATATATTCAGAATCTATTAACGATTCCAGTACCATCCAGTGAGTGTCAAATGGACTACCCCACACTACTGAGGGTCTCCATTGGACACCCATTGGATGGTCCTGCAGGTATATATCTCCCCAAACAGTGTGGACGCACTAGGGGTTCTTACGGTAATGGAAAAGCAGCTGATGCTTAGTTCGATGAAGCGCGCGGGCGTGACCGGCTAATTCGCTGCTATTTACAGTACATTCATGCCTCTCGACATCGTCAACGTGCATTTCGACTGCGCAGGCTCACAAAGTCTGGGTGGCCGCGGCGGGTGCTTCCAGCGACTGCGCTCTCGTTGTGGTGCCGTGCGCATTTTGGTACATGGTGGTCACTTTTCGTGGCAGCGCAAGGGAAACCTCGTGCTTTGGTGCTTCAAAGTCGACTTTTCGTGACAGGTGCAAGGGATCGGAGCCGTTTTACTTGGAACTGCAGTTTTCGTGGCAGATGCAGCACACTCACACTCACTCTGCCTCTCACTCACTAACTTTCACTAACTCTCACTCTCTCACTCTCACTCTCACGCTCACGCTCACGCTCATTCTCACTCTCACTCACTCTCCCACTCTCACTCACACTCACTCGCCCTCACACTCACACTCGCTCACTCCCCCACTCGCTCACGCTCATACTCCCTCACACTCTCACTTTCCCACTCACTCACACCCACACTCCCTCACACTCTCACTCTCACTCAGACTCACTCTCATACACACTCACTCAGTCTCACTGACACTCACTCACTCTCACTCTCACTCTCACACTCTCACACTCACTCACTCACTCACTCACTCACTCACTCACTCACTCACTCACTCACTCAATCACACTCACTCACTCACTCAATCACACTCACTCACTCACTCACTCACTCAATCACACTCACTCACTCACTCACTCAATCACACTCACTCACTCACTCACTCACTCGCTCACTCACTCACTCACTCACTCACTCACTCACTCACTCACTCACTCAATCACACTCACTCAATCTCACTCACTCAATCTCACTCACTCAATCTCACTCACTCACTCAATCTCACTCACTCACTCACTCACTCACTCACTCACTCACTCACTCACTC